ATACATATATTATACACACACAAATATACGCGCACACACAAAGAAAAACAAGTAGATAGAAAAAATAGAAAGCTAGTGTTTGTTTGTTTTTTGTTGTTGTTTTTTTAAATAAAAATAAAAAAGAAGATAAATATAGATAAAGTCGAATTAAAATAGAATAGAAAGTGCTAGAGTTAGAGGGTCAAATAAAGATGGAAGAGATGTGTTTTTAGTCGTTTCTTGACTCAGTACTCGGCTGCTCAGATTGAGTTGGGCAGGTCATTCACCAGGAGGGAACAGTTAATGAAAAAGTCAATGAAAGTGATTTTGTGCCTCTTTGGGATGGCACAATAATACGCCGTTCACTTGCAGAACGCAAGCTTCTAGAGGGCACATAACTCTGAAGTAATGAGTTTAGGTAAATGGGTGCAGAGCCAGTGGTGGTTTTGTAGGCAAACATTAATGCCTTGAATTTAATGCGAGCAGCTACTGGTAGCCAGATAGGTATTTATACAATACCGTTTCAAACAGCTCCACAGGAGTAATTTAGTAGCATTGTAAAGTTTCAGCAGTTATAAAAATGACTTCAGTTTCAGCTGTAAAACATCTCTACAGAAGATAATTACCATTATTTAGGTCAAGTCAGTTAAGTGATTCGATTCAGTTCAATGACAGTGTCAGTGTTACAGAGTTGATCAAATTATGAAACAAATTCTGTCCAGCTATAAAGCAGCTCTAAAGAAAACAATAGTGTCATTATTCAGATTAATTGACTTGAACCTTGATTCAGATCTATTCAGTAATTTCCTTATTAATAAAACGACTGCAATGGCAGCTCTACTGAAGACAACAGTGTCATTAAGCAGTTCAGTTCAGTTCTCATCCAGTCCTGTCAGTGCAGTCAAATTGATAATATTTCTAAAAGTTCATTCTCTATTAAGCACCCTTTTTAAGCACATGAGTATTAACTAAATATTGGGATGTAATGTGATGATGTTTGCTATAGCGGTTGTGTTCACTTTGTCAGTTTAGGGTTAGTAACGATAAATAACTTTACAAGTCAGTAACCACATTTGAGGTTGTGGGTTATGAGTTTAAGAATAGTCCATTGTAAAACCCATATT